AATCGACATGTCTTTTCAATATCATCCAGCATCAGAGTTTGTTTTTACCTGGCTCTGCTCCATTATTAAAAGCCCCGTGAAACAGATAGTTGCAGATGTTAGCATGCTTAGCATCAATGTGGACTTAAAATGACATCGTCTGTGCTTCGCTTAATATGTTATGGGGAGGGCTGGGAAAACTGCATAAATGGTGTGTAATCTGTCAGCCAGTGGCAACGACCACCTAATTGTCAGCTGACTAAGCAAACAACAATGTTAACCTACAGGGCCAAAGTCATAGCAGCTTCACTAGTTGACAAATAGCTGCCTCCATGGACAGTGATGTTCACAATGTGATTTTATTTAAGCCTGAATGACATTCATCAGTTCTCTGTCTTATCAGTCTCCCTTGACTTGTTTGTGTTTGTACGGGCCATATGTTTGTAATGACGTACACGCTGCTGGTGACGCTGAAATTTAGCATTGAATCCAGCTATCTGCCTGCTATAATAACTTTCAAATGGTCTGCAGACTCCACCCATTTGGCGCACCATCAGTGTATGCCAGCATGCTAATGGTGCAGACCCTTTAGGCGGGTACAGACCATTGTCTCTAGTGATGGATTAGGGAAAATCGAATCTCCCTCCCTAACAGAAATCGGTTAGAGTAGACCCAATGTCCGAATGAAGATGGAAACAGAGTAAAACAAGTTAATTCTGTCTGATATCAGGCAATTGCACTGACACTGCTGGCTAAACACTCAACAAGGTACCTTTAACCTTCACTACAGCGTTGTTTTTCTGCAAAAGAAAGAATAAAACAGGCACCACTGAAAACTGCCTTTGTGTATCTCTATGATTGTGAACCACAAGGGTGAAGCTGCAAAAGACATGCAAACTCAGCAACACTGCATGGATTAAAAAACAATATCATTCTCACAGGCAGAGCTTTCTGGAAGATAGAATTGGTTGGCTGAGTAAATGAGTGACATTCACTGTTCCTCAGCGGAGGCCTTGCAAAGTTGTGGGAAGACTGTAAATTCTCTGACAAACACACACACACACTGGCAATACGCAGTGAGGAAAATTGAAGGAGTTCCATGATACACACCGAATTCAATATACATGAGACAATGAAGTGGATTATTTGTGCTTGTCACTCACTGCTGTTGTGGGCCCATGCTGCTGCAGCTTGGTGATGATGACGTTTTAGCCTTGTTCTTTTAAATGCTTTATGTGGTAAAAGCAAGGAAATGCTTGCTCTGCATAATTCCATCAGAGAATATCCATGCAAGCACCTGCACTCTGAGTATCCCTCCATCACAGAGATAAAGCAAGAAAATCTAGGCAGCAATAAATACTGCAATGCCTCTTGCTTTATAGAATTTTAAACATTAACATGGAAGCATGTCTGTTCATTTACATTGACGTATATTTGGAGGATATTTTCCTGCATCTAATTTATTCAATATAGGATGTAAACCATGTTTACGGTCTCATTTTTGTCAAATAAAAATTGTTTTTTTCTGCACAAAAAATAACAAGTTTTCAATTGTTATTTTTTGTTTTTTTATTAAATTTGAAGAACTGTACAGATGTGTAAGATTTTCACAAGAGTTCAAATTTTATAATTAAGACAAAGATACCCCCCACTCTTGCATTAAATTGTGACTAGATAAACCAAGGCTACTGTTTTACAAAATTAAAAAGCCTTGATTTAAAAATAACAAAAACCCACCACAGTGAAGCATGACTGTTTGGATCTGCCTGCTTTGTACACTGAATGGAACAAATAAATCTTTAAAAGCTGAAAACATGCTTTTATCTTGTCTCCATGGAAATAAAAGTATTTATTTATTTATTACTTATTTATTTATTCTTGTGATTCTTCTTTTCATTGTTTCGGACTGTAGTCACACATATACCTGACCTATACAGGACTTGCCTCTCTCCATATTTTTGGTCTTGTGGGATGATTAGCTGTGACAAAAGCTACTGTTTTAGTAGTTTTAATAATACCCACAACATTATTTTCCACAATGGAGCACTGGAACACCTCCTTTATAATTTTAGGGACAATATAGCACAGTGTGAGACACTATTCAGCAGCTGAAGGGCATTTAGTTAGCGTTAATTCATTGTCAATCAACAGCCCACGCTTTTTACCACATACATGCACATTAAATACAAGTTGAAGATATGAAGGGGTTAGAGTTTGCAGTGTACTAGCAATCCAGGGCCTCATTCTGTGACTCATGATGTTTTCGAAATAATAAAACAGACGTATTCATCCAACAAACAAAGAACATTTTCTGTGTTTTTCTATTGTTCACGGTCTGACAGGTATAGCTCAATAGCCTTAAGGCCTACCCACATATTTAATGCACAGTTTATGGCTCCCTTTAGAAATGTTATCAAGTAGTTAACCTTGCCTGACAAGATGACCCCTGGCAAGAACGCTGGGAAATGAACCACTGAATTCCTGGTCAAAGGGGTAATTATGTCAGAGAAGGTCAAACTGCAGTGATTTGCATAAAAAACAAATGGACACACATGTTGGATGGTACGGTATATTCTAACATTAACTGCTGATAAGCAAGTGTGACAGTGATTCTGTGGAAGTGGATCCTTTTACATTCTTATTCTTTCTCAGCATTATCAGGAGGCTATATTATCTCAATACATTTCAACAGCAGTTGATAACAGAGAGAATAGTAAGTGAGAACAGCAGCTCATAGTGGTGGAATTTACTCAAGTGCAGACAATTCAAAGTACTTCACTAGAGTATTTACATTTGATGTTACTTTATAATTCCACTCCACTACAGTTCTGAGGGAAATATTGCACTTTTTACTCCACATTCATCTGACAGCTACTTTTTACCTTTCAAATGAAAGAATTCTTTAAAAACAAATGATCAGTCTTAAAAATATCATGCATTGTGATTGATTAAACTATGCAACCACAGCCTATATACAGTGGCAGAAAGTAACTAAATACATACACTCTCATTACAAGGGCACTGCATCCACCTTTAGTAATGTCTGAAGTCATATTAACTTTTGTTTTGCCTGTTTTTGTATTTATGTGAGGCAAATTTAAGAAAATATTCTGATAATGAAGGGATACCACACAAAATCAATCAACTATTGACATGGTTTACGTGAATTATTTTTCATAATTTTAACTTTGCAGAGGGAAATCCTGTACTTTTTGCACCACTGCATTTATTTGACAGCTGTAGTGACTTTACAAATTCAGATTTTAAAACCTATAGTCACAAGCCCCTGCATTCCTGACACCTTGCATTTATTGCCATTCTCCACCTGTCCACCAGATGGCCTCAGACTTTTCCACCTGTCCCAGTCACCTGATTCCCACCTGCTCACCTGTATCTCATTTCCCCACCAGCCATTCTCTCCAGTCAATGCCAGATTGTTAGTGTTGTTAAGTTGTGAGCAGCCATCTAACCACCTGTTCCTTGTTACCTGTTTGTGGCCTGCACACCTGTCGCGCCCCTGCTGAGTTTGTTTCACTGTTAAGGCTTCCATTCCTTTCATCAACCTGCTTGCTTTGTGAGCGTTTGTCTGCATTTCAGTCCTTCTCCCTCTGTTGCCTGAATTTACCAACTGTCACACCCATGATGATTATAATTAAACACAATGCCTTTATAATACAGCACATTTAGTAACTCAGTAGTGTATAAAATGAGCTAGAATCAGCTTCACCTCAGCCAGCTACCACATTTGAATGCTAACTGATTGTCCAAAAATATAATATATAAAAATACAGTGTAAGTACTTTTATTCTTAATGTAACTTTTGTCATGTTTCATTTATTCATAAATTTACCAAAGAACATTTTTAGATTCAAGACTTCTACTTGTAATGGAGAATTTTTACTGAGTGGTAGGTTGTTGTTTGTACCTTAGTAAAGGGTCAAGACTTAGGCCTACAAGTACCCTGTTGTCTACTCTGGCCCTAAGCAGTGAACAGGCTGTTTATGTACTTCAGGAATAATATTTTAAAATGTAATATATAAACAGTGATGAATACTTGATAAAGGAACTATGTCCCACATGTCAGTCCTCTAAGATTGTCCAAAAAATAATAGTAAAAATGAACAGCTCCCTCCCAAATCCAACTCAAACTTGTGATGTAATAGGTTTTGAAGTCTGGGCCTTCTCCATAGACAGAGAATTGGGAAAGATGTTCTAGATGACACTTGGGGCACTGATCAAAGTATATTAGTTCATTTTTTGTTTCAGAACTGAGAACACTGCAATAGAAAAAAAGCTCATGGGGATATGTAAAAGAAAACAAACATTCTGCCTATGGAGCAGCTCCAGACTTTAAACCCTATAATACCACAAGTTTGAGACTTCTCTGGTTTCTGGTTTTGAGAGAGAGGGGCACTTATGTTCACATCCATTGATCAAACTTTCTTAGGCCATGCTAATAACATACTGGAATTCCTAATTTAGGTGGTGAATGAATACCTCTTTAAAATTACTTGTAATTTTAGGTGTGTTGTTACTTAAAGAATCTGAATATACTCTCTGCTGCTGCTTATATAGTCCGTAAGGCTGATCACTAAAATATAAACACTAAGAAACTGAATTTAATCATTTTAAAAGGGGACATTTGGGGGGGAAAGTAGCGTGATTGAACTGAGCTATTCCCTGCTGAATTGGCAAATGGACATCAATCACAGGCCATATGTTCATACACTGAAGATAAAGATGGGCATTCATTAGTAAACATGTAATTTTCCACACAACGCCACTGGCAAGAGCTCCAAGGCCATGGTGTCGATTTAAATGACCACACTGCTGTCCAGAAAACAAGCTTGGGTGGAGCTGAACTGTTAAAAAACAGAAAGAAAAGAAAAGGAGAGGGATAATTTAAATATGTTGTTTTCGAACGAACGAGGCGCGTGCGCACATGCACGCACGCACCTTTGTAATTTCTCAACAGGTCCACTGGGGTTTGGACAAGACCCATCTCACACCCGCGTCTCCTCTCTCTCTCTTTCTCCGTCTTTCTCTCTCTCTCCGTCCGAAAAGCCGAAAGCTGTTGGCTCGCGCGCTCTGTCTAATTATTCCACTCTCGCGCAGCACCGAGCGGACTGCTACACGCTCCGCACCACTTTTCCATCTCTTCCCCTCCGCACTGCGATACCGCGAGGTGACGGCTCTCCTGGCGGACACTAACTAACCCAAACACCTGGACAGAGCTTCCATCGGGGGGGACGGTAACGTGTTTAGAGGTGCCTCGAGCAGACGACAAATGCTGGAGACCCGCGGCCAGTGCCCCCAGACCCGACGGGGAGGGAGACACACAGAGCAGTGATGGGACAGTTTTCGGGAGGATGCTACCTGAGTTTCGGCATCCTCGTGCTTCTCGGTTTGCACGCCCCGGCCACGTTAGCAAGAGGTAAGCACGACACTGACACTCTTTGATGAGCCCAATGTTTTTCACATGAGAGGGAGTCTCAGTCCTTGAAAAATAAACTCGAGAAAGAAAAGACGTGTGTACCTCGACAGACAGTGCTTGTAGCCGTGGTTGTAGTGTGTTTGGGCTGTGAAAAGTGATATACCAACCGGTGTGAACAGTTTGTGTGTGCGTGTGACTGTCAGAAAAGTAAGACATTTTTTCAGCTCGCATTTGAAATGTGGCAAGTTTCTATTTGTAATGCGCCACGAGCTGGCTGAGCCGTGTTTGAGTAGCTAATGTGGCACCTTTTTAGAATATTGGTGTGTTTAAAGGTGAAAACTGAGTCGCGTTTCGTTTAACGCACTGTAATTAAGCTAATTTGAAATTTTAAAATCTGTTTGGCGACCAGTTGTGCTCAGATAAATGCTGCGATAATATCCGCTCTGTTGCCCTTTGCCACGTATTAACTAATGGAAAGGGGGATTATATCATTTCATATCTTAACCGTAGCCCACTGTTCAAGTAATGCTTGACAATTAATTTCTGTGATAAGTCTTTTTATTTTAGCGGCTAAAGCCAACACGTTATCAGTTGCTAGAGGGTCTCATTAGCCACATGAATTGGTTCATTGAGAAGTTATATTGACGAAATAGCAGTAGAATTGGAGAGGATGGTGGCGTGCCTATGTCCTATTATCTTCACTTCTGTAGCTTAAGCTATTGTTTAACACAAAATATGGAAATTATTGCTTTAGGGCTGTGCTCTTTTCTGCAGCATCTAGTTGATACTGGTTGCTTGAAATGTTTTGGATGCTATTTATACTAATTTTCCAGGCTTGTTTAAAAAGTCCTAGTTGATCAAGTGTATACAAGTTGTAGGACACTCAACTACTCAACAACTAGTTTTGTCTAAATGTAACTGTGCTGTAAATATTCAGTGTCTTTCTTAGTGGTGATGCCAAAATTGGTGATTTATTTAGGCCTGTGGGAAGACTGAGATGTTATGCATTGTCCAAAAATGTTTCCTTTTGGTCCGTGACTGGATCATCATTACATCTTCTCCTGTTCTTTGGGTGAATCTGTCCTGACCTATTGACATCCATTTAGCTCACATGGCAGTGAGACAAAGAAGCATTTGCAAGTCAATTAGTTAACTAGCCCCAAGGTTTTCATTTTTGCTTCCCAAGTTCTGAAATTAGCTTCAACTTTGAAATTTGCATAGCATAAATATTAGATTATGCATACAGTATGTATCTTCAGGGCAACTTTGCATGGAGAGATCAGGAGGGTTTTTGTCATTTTTTTAAGTTAGTCTGAAAGGCGTTGAGTTTAACCTTTAAGAACTGGCTGTACATTTTATTTACATGGTCAGCATTTCCACAGTGGGTACGTTGTTATGCACAGCGTTGCATGATTTTGGAAAGGCATGACCTATGTATGGGGAAAAACAATAATGTTGTGAGTGCATGGAAGTGAAATGTGCCCGCGTGTACAAAATGTAGTTTTCATAAGCTGCGTAGGTATATGCTATTAAACATTATCCAGGTTTTAAAGTGGCGTCTCCGGTGGCTATCTGACAGGCTGTGAAATAAATATTAATGTTATGCAATAATATGGATGTCAACAGTCAAATACTTATGTAGAAATGAAATGAGATGAAATGGAAAAGCAGACTCCACAAAAATCTGACTAAATAATGTCAAACATACAGGCTGAGTTATGGAGCATGGTTGCAATAAGAATTAAGTAATCCAGCTGCACATATAAACTCCCCATACAGTTGTAAATGTATTTCTCAATTAGAAACCAGATTTTAATTTTATTACTACAACTTTATTCTTTCTGTCTGGGGACTCAGTCATACACCTGCGAGCATGCAACTTAAAGCTTAGCACACTGAGAGAACACAAAGTGATGAGAACAAACTTACCCCAAAGGAGGAACCTGGAATCAGTGCCCACCGGTGGATTCAGGGAAGAGATGGGGCTGATGAAATGTTGAGCAGCAGCAAAGAACATAACAGAGGCGTTTGCAGTGTGATCAGTGAAGCAGCAGTGTTGGCAGTGAAAGGGTGAGCAAGTGCATCACAGCTTGGATATGTTTATATGTATGTCGAGTGTGCTGCATGTGAGTGCAGCTACACAATTTGAGTCATCTGTTTGAAGGACTGTGGCTTCCTAAGCATTCTCTCCATGAGTTCCTTGTGACTGTAAATGAATTTCTTTGTACATGGTTCACGTTAAAAAAGAGCTTTTCATGATTGCAGAAAATGCTCAGTTGTCACATTTCAGCAGAAGCCAACCTCAAAACAGTTTGACATTTCACGTGTGGATTTTAGTTCAATGGAAAAATAAGGAGTTTGCACAAAAAATTGTCACAAAAAAAATAATGCATGGTACTAACGTTTAGTAGATTATGGCTGCAACAATTATTTTCATTATCAGTAGACCAAATCACCATGATGTCGTGCAAACACTTTTCGGGTAGACAACTGGAAACTGTTTTGAATTGCGTAAATATGTGATGTAGGCCTTTTTATATCTGTTATCATTCTCCGTTGTAACTGTAAGAGATATAGTTGGTCTGACCTATCTGACATTTCTGCAGTGTAGGGTTGGGCCGGTGTAAAAACTTTCAAACTGGTTTGATCTTAAGCCCAACACCTGATCAGACCAGGATACCGAATTTTACCAGGTGTTCCACTTGACTCAGCAGCCACTCGTGAGTGGAACATAATGACACTGTGTCCCAACAGCGAACGAGCATCTGACTATTGCAGTACAATGTGTAACATCAGAGCTCTCTGTCTACACTGAATCCATTAAATATGTACTTCTGTTACGTCATGTAAACAAACCACGTAACTATCAGCTGTGGGCTCGAGGTCAACCTAAAAGATGGTTGAGTAGCCTAATTGCGATCTCCCGATGTTTTTTTAATGTTATTTTTTAAATAGAAAACACAAGTTTTATGTTGTGATATTTACTGAAAATGACATACAGTGTATCCAACAGCAAGAAGCCTAGCCTTTTAGTAGCGATGGTCATTTAGCTTACAAGAAACTTTCAACTACTTCGATGTGTCCCTCCAGCCAGCTGTGACCAAAAGGCTATTTTGTTTTTTGTAGGGGAAATAAAAAGGAATCATAAAGATCATTCCTCATTTCAACTCCACTTACAGCCGTTCCCCGTCCATTACAGCTTTCAAAAGTGAGGAACAGGGATAAATAGAAAACAGGGCATTTGGCATCTGACAAAATACACTGCTGTGGACAGGGGCTGCAGCAAAATGTATTTAAGTGGCCTATAAAGACCCAGCCAAAGAAACCCATATCAGTTGAAGTGTACAATAGATTTAGAATATTTTCAGTGCTTTATCTTACTCATTAACTTGTTGAGACAGCGGTAGACCAGCACCTCCAGTGTTGTAAAATGACTGCTTTTGTCAATTGAGTTTGGTGGCTTTTCTCAAGCTTTTCTACTCGTAAGTTATTGTAAACAAACATTGTGATTTGGTCTATAGATAATTTTCACAATTAATTGTGTGGTCCATAAAATATCATCAGAATTACCTAAACCTTGTATTATGTTATCAAAAAGCTTGTTATGCCGAACCAATACCCTAAAACTAAAAGATAATCAATTAAAACTAATACTACTAATCCCCAGCCTCATCCTTTAAAATGGGATGCTTGAGTGGTGTAAACTAATTGGACAAACTGCTTGATTGAAGACATCAGTTTAGTCCTAATGGTCTATATAAGGTTATTAGGGTGAAATCAATAAATGTACCCCTGTGCTGTGACTCGGGCATGAAAATACTGTTAAGTCATGTAACTGGTCAGCCTGGAGCAAGCCTCAACTCTCTATCCACACACAAAGCAGAAAACAGACACCTGATTGACCTTAGATCATGGTAGAGTAGGTTATAGGAGAACCGCCACTCCAACCTCCCAGCATCCCAGGATGTAACACTGGGGGAAAACATGAAAGTTTGAACAACATATCACTTCTATGAAATGGTAGCACAAAGCACAATTTCATTTAAATTTAGAAACATATATTTGCTTATAATTTGATCAAATGTGACAAGCCCATAGTGGCCGAGCCTTGGAGCTGAAGCCATTGTGCCTCCTGCTGCTAAAAAACGCATCCAGGCCTGAGCATGGTGCAAGTGAAAATACTCAAGATAGAAACAGAGACAGAGAGTGAGTGAGAAAGAGGAATAAAGGCCAATGGAGTCATCTCTGCCATGTTTTATTTATCCCAAAAAATGACTGCCAGACTCTTTCTCAAGCTCCAGCTTTGATTTGACTGACATTTCACATGAAATGAAATCACGAGCACAGATGGGCTGGTATCCACAGTTGTTTCTATTCTGTAGGAGATCGCATGGTGGTCATATTGCCCAGTTTCACTATTGCATTATTCAGAGGGAAACCATTTCTCTATCCAACTCACCAACCCCCTCTCCCGTTTTTTTCTTCACGTTCAGAGGGATCTAAGCTCACCAGCAGCCAAACAAGGGTAGGGGATATTGTCTACAGTGAAGGCAGAGATGCTACAAAATCAAATACGAGGAAAATCATTCTGAATGTTATGCAAAGAAAACAAATTTTGCTTGGAAGTAAACATACACATTATGCTGATAAAGTGTGATTAGAGTCTGTGTTGGACAAAGCTACCGTAGTAATCAAATAGCTATTGTCTTTGTCTATGGGATATTGAGACTTTGGAATCTGGTCAATAGACACGCTTTTGTACATGGTATTCCCATGAGAGGTGGGATTGATTGGACCAGGATCCCTTTGTTTGCTCCAATAAAAAAAAACAATGCTTTCATTATGAATCAGTTGATGTAACGTCATATTTCTGCTCAGTTCCATTGTGGATACGTATAGATTACTGCAGGTCCTATTTTGCTTTGTAATCAAGTTTTGTCCTTGTTGAAAACATCAGAATGTTGAGTTCAGTTAAGACATGTGTGCTATTACTTTCATCA